TATAATTTTAAACTTAAATTATACTCATTTTATTAATGAAGTTTATAACTATTTTTACTAATCGTGAACCTGCTTTACAATAATACACCTCTCCATTCCCGATAAATCATACGCATATCGTTGAAAAGCTAGTCCGTACAAAGGTATTAATCTATCGATATTGTTTTGATCTTCACCTATCTCCAATATAGCAAATCCTCCTTTTTTAAGACACTTCTTCAATGTTGCAAAAATACTCAAATAGCAATCCAATCCACTTACGCCACCATCAAGTGCGATTTTTGGCTCTTTCTGCACTTCAACTTGTAAGGTTTTCAATTTATCTCTCTTGATATACGGAGGATTGCTAATTACAAGGTCAAATAAATCCCTACATTCTGTCCACGAATGTGGAAAAATTTTAGCCCTTCCTAATAGATTATGTTTTTTTACATTTTTGCGAGCAATTCTATACGCTCTTAAACTTTTTTCAAAGCCAATACCTATGGCATATTGATATTCACTCAATATAGATATCAACAAGCAACCGGTACCAGTACCGAAATCTGCAATTTTTAGTTTTTGTTTCTTATTTATATAGTATTTTAATGCCGTTGAAATTACAGTTTCGCTGTCTGGTCTTGGATCTAAAACGTCTCGACTAACTATGAAATTGCTATTCCAGAATTCACGCTTGCCTGTTAGGTGCGATACTGGATGCTTTTTCGCTCTCTTTTTTATCAATTGCCAAAACTTTGATTCTTTGTGAGCTAAGACAAAATCAGTATGATTCATGATTATGAAAGATCTTTCTACACCCAATACATGCTGCATAATTATCTCGCAGTCAAGATATGCTGTGTCTACACCCATTGAAGATAAAAACTTTGATCCTTCTTGAATTAAAGTACTTACAGTGCTCACTGAAGTGATCTTAAAGATATTAAATTTATTTTAAATAAAAATTTGAGTAAAATCAAATATAATTAGAATTGCCCCTAACTCCAACCCGAAGAGCTTATTTTATATAAAAAAATAGCCCCACTTCTCTCCATTTTTCCTTATGAGATCAGTATATTACATCTCTAATAAATTGATATTATTAACAATAGTTATTAAAATTTTAATTTTAAGTCTTCATAACATTTCTTACTATCGTTTTATATCGAGGTAAAGTTATGAGATAAATTTTAGTTGCGATAAAGTATTTCATATTATATATATCAAAAATACAACTTAAAATGCTACTGCAATAAAGCATTCTTTGTATGAAGCAAGAATGCAGAAAGCAAATGCCACTGAAGAAAATCTTCATACTATTTTAAAGTTTAAAGACAAAGAAGATTTTGAAAATTAGGCTAATCAGAGAATTTTGAATAATCAGGAGATTGGGTAATTATGTGCTAGCTCTCTTATGAGAGGTTTGAATCACCTAGAGAACAAGGGAATAGCAAGGAATATTATTCAAAACGCAGCTACAAACGCAGCAAGAGAAGAATTAACTAATACAAGTGATAATACAAAAAATAAAATCAAACAAGAACTAACTGATCTAGAAAATAATGATAAGGTAAGAAGAGCAAAGAAAAAAATCATTAAAATCCTAGGCGAGGTTGATGAAGAACAAGTACTTGTTGAATTGAAGGTAATCAAAAAAAAAGACTTGATGTTTTATACAAGGGTTTTTGAGGATCATAAGAAAGAACTTGATAAATATGGAACTACAGCATTTTTTTTGTAAAAATGCGAGATTATATTACATACTAGAAAAATCATCTGGCAATAACTTATTATCAAAGCGAATTAGGGCATTAAAAACGAAATTCCACAATTTATCAGAGAAGAATATGAATAATGCTATGAAAATACTAGCCGATAATGAGTTAAGGGAATTTTATGATACAGGAGTACAAAATGGAACGCCTTCTCCTATTGTAACTTATGAAGAAGGCAAAACTAAAATCAAGGGTGAGAAAAAGGATATTGAGATACTGAAGGGAGGCTTAAAAAAGTAAAGGAGTTAATGAAAAGTATCACTTGATCAATCAGTGTTGTTAATGAAAAGAAAAAGTCAATTTTTCATTGCATAAATTATCAAAATGATTCTTTCCAAGAAATGGAAGGAAGAAAACACAGATATCGATATTTTCAGCAAAAGATTGATATATACAAAAAAAAGAACCGATGAATGCCAGAAAGAAATCGATAAGTGCATTAATCCCATGTAAAAAGTATTTGATACTCTCTCGCACAAAACAAGAGCTAATAATGATATGATGGAATTTAAATTAATGATAGATAGCCTGCAAATAAAACATGATTCACTTCCAAGTGAAACGTGCAGCACGCATTCAACTTTGCATAATCCCACGACAAATCTTTCACAAACTAGACATGATCATCTGGTACACACTCTCGTGGTGTAATGGCATGGTGTATTGATATAAAAGATAGTATATCCCCTCTCCTAATAGGAGAAAGGATAAAAGAAGAGTAGAATCAACAACTTGACGAAAAGATTTGAGAATAGGAACGTTCTTTCTAGCTCTATTTTGATAGAAAACTAATAGCGTTCAGTATCATTAAAATCAGGAGAATATGGAA